CCCCAAAACCCCAAAACCCCAAAACCCCGCATTTCATAATAACGTCATTGAGGACTAACTGAATGTAATAAATTTACATTGATTCATAATAAAATATAAATCAATCGTGCAACTATAGGTATCAATACTTTTATAGATATCCTCTAGATTTACATTCACTTGTTGTTTTGATAGTAATAGTTGTGATGAGACTAGAGTATCTTCTTTCTAAGTTCCTTCTTTCTTTTGTGGATATCAGCATAGAGCTTGTTTCTGTATTCTCTGATTGAGAATTTCTGGTTATCATCTATTGGAATGTTAATTTTCCTGGTACAGTTTGGTTCATCATCAGGATTGTGGAACTGAGCGACGTAGGGATGTTTCAAAGCCTACTCAGCTGAAAGCCTTTTGCTAGGATTGAAATGCAATAAATTCTTCAGCAAGTCAATAGCATCATCCGAAGCAGCTGGAAAAACATCTCTAAGTCTCTTAGGCTTGGTTGGTGGAAGGGACTCGAGCATAGTCATTGCTAGCGGACAATCAACAGCTTCAATATCATCTGCAGTTGGCCTTCCAATCAACTCCATCACTCTATCAAGCTAATTTAGAGTGCTAGTACCTGGAAATACTGGTTTACCAAGCAATAGCTCAGCCAAAATGCAGCCCATACTCCACATATCTACCCCCTTAGTGTATTTATTTGATCCTAATAAAATCTCAGGAGCTCTATACCACCTTGTGGCTACATAGTCAGTTAAAAGTGGAATTGTGTCAGGGTCTTTTACATCAAGAGACCTTGCCAAACCAAAATCAGCAACTTTTACATGGCACTCTGAATTTAGTAGTAGGTTGCTAGGCTTGAGATCACGATGAAGTAACTGGCATGAATGCATGTATTTGAGACACTTAAGCACCTAATAGATGATATACTATTTGTGAATATCTTCTAATATGTTAGCTCTGATAACTGCATGCAAGTCTGTGTCCATGAAGTCAAATACCAGATAAATATCTCTGTCATTTTCAGCTCTAACTACATTTTGAAGTCTGATGATGTTTTCATGGCCATTCAGTTCCTATAAGAATATGATTTCTCTGAAAGTCCTTTGAGCGTCAGTAGCATTTTGAAAAGCATCAAAGTTCTTTTTTAGTGCCACAATTTCCTTCGTTTTCTTATCAATAGCCTTCCATACAATACCATATGCTCCTTTTCCTAGCAATATTTATTAAGATCATGGCAATCATAATTTGAATGGATTTTGAATATTAAAATTTCTCATTAACTACTGCTTACCTAGTTTTTGAAGTATTTCATACTTCTTAAGAACATGAGCCTCGATTTCCTCAGTCATTTTTTATATAGAAAATTAAATAATTTAACTAGTTTAAAACTTCAAATTTGATTTTTCAATTAACTAACTAGCTTTAAATTATTTTGAAGATTACTACATCAGGGGTTTTGGGGTTTTGGGGTTTTGGGGTTTTGGGG